CTACGTATCAATCTCCTCGGAGAAAGACAGGCGGAGCATCGCGCCCGCTACCCGAGGGGAAGTACTGCAGCGCGGGCTTCCGAACCCCGAGAGCGGGCGCTGGATCTGGTGGTTAAGGAGGTAGATAGGGACGCGCCCGTCTACATTCCCTCCATATGCGAAACCCACGAGCACAGCCGCCGCTGTGAAAGCGGGGCCGGCACCGCGAGAAACGCTAGTGAAGGCTCTCTCCTCAAAGAGAGCCCTCTGAGAGCGAAGTGTATCCCCACCTGTAAAGTAACGTGGGCAGGGAGAAACACAAAGCCTGAACGCTGCCTGCCCTCACCTTAGGTGACTGGTTTTGTCTTGTTTTTAGATTCGTGACAGACAACACTAAATAAGACTCACAAACAGATATCAGACTGACACACACACAGAACGCTTGCTGAATGACAAAAAGCTGATGCTGGTCTCACCGCACGTGCTTTTATAGCCTCCTGGTCATTACGTCACCCGCCCGTGACGTCTCGCCCATCTATTGGTCTGATTACACACGAGGTTCAGAGCCGGTCACGCTGAAGGGCGTTCCCCTAGCGTTTTCCGACGCAGCTCGAGTTCCTGAAGAGGAACACCATTATTCAGAGTTCAGAGCACTGCATGAGTGTGTTTTATTTCTCATGAGGTGGGAAATGGAGAGAGCAAAACCGATATGGGACGGGTTACTTACGCACCACAATCAATAGCATCATAATTAAAGGAATGGGTTTATTTCGATAAAGCTATTCCACACAGTTTTCTGCCAGCGAGCTGTAATTGCATAGAAATTTATTACACTATGAGTTTTCATCTGGAGCACAGCGAGGAGGGGAACATGAGCCCACAGACGTTCATAGAAAATACTAATGTATTTGGACCCCTTACGTTCTCTCTCTCAATTTGATTCCTTTACCGTGAATAAATGGATGATGGATCTGGCCGCCTGATCCACTGGAACAAAAACACACACTCACACACAACGAATAAATGCCATTCAGAACTATGTCGAAACATTGAAGATCTTCTCAAA